GTTAGAATACTCAAATCAGGGGTATTTTGGTCACTTTGGTTTATCTGGTTGAGAGTGAAAGGTCTATTTTATCTAAGTTTAAGTTATGTGTCCCATCTCTTATGAGGGGCAATATGGTCTTTCTTGTAACTCTATTATTTGGAATAAATACAAGTGGGTCGGCTAGGGAGAGGTGATTTTTACTCTCTTCTAGTCTGGCCGAACTCTTCTTCTTCTTCTTCTTCTTCTTCTTTCTCTTTCCTTTCTTCTTCTCTACTTCAACCTAGAATCGAATAGGGTTTATTTACAAAACCTATTCCCAAAAATTAAATGTGGCCAGGGTTTACAAGTTGAGAAGTGATGTGAAGAATTTGAGACAGGGGGAGAAACCATTAGTTGTATACTTCTCAACATTGAAGTCTTTATGGCAAGAAATAGATTTGATAGAAGTTGTAGCCTGGGACACCACTAATGATGCTAAGGCTTACAGAAAACTGGTTGAGAGAAATAGGGTGTTTGAGTTCTTTATAGGGCTAAATCCAGAGTACGACATTACAAAGCAAAATATTTTATCCAACGATAGTGTCTCATTGTCTCAAGCATATGCCTTGGTAAGTAGTGAAGAAAGCAGAAGACTTGTCCAGGTCCAAGGGGCTGATCTAAATGATCACTTTGCTAATATGGGAGTGAAACCCAAGGGGGTTGTAGGGACTCCAAGTAGCTCAAGGAAGAAAGAGATTATCTGTGAGTATTGTAAAAAGCCAAAACACACTAAAGACAGGTGCTGGAAATTGCATCCTGAGCTCCTACCACTTCGGTTTCAGAAAAAGTCTGATAATATAAATGTAGGGAGTGCCAATGTTGTTGYTGGTCCAGATAGTGACAGATATCAAACTGAAGAGATAACGGCTAGTGAGTAGTTAGTAGCTATGAAGGCAGAATATGAGAAGTTTGGGAGGATGATTAGTCACCTAGAGGGTGTGACCTCTTCTTCCAACCCTCCAGGAAATTCAACCTCTTCTGCATTTGCTCATTCAGGTATACGGGCTTCTACCAATCATGCAACCATTTCAGGTAATCGTAGGATCCCTTGGATTATTGATTCTGGTGCTTCTGATCATATGACTAGCCTTTCTACTTTGTTTGTTTCATATGATTTACTTCCTGGACGTGACAAAATCACCTTAGCCGATGGCTCTCTTGCCCCTATCTCCGGCAAGGGAACCTTCAAGGCTACAGACTCCTTGGTTCTTCCTTCTGCTCTTCATGTACCCAGACTAAATACAAACTTGTTATCTATAAGTAGCCTAACTAAGTCATTAAATTGTTGTGTAACTTTCTTTCCTTCCTATTGTGTTTTTCAGGATCTAGAGTCTCAGAAGGCGATTGGGAGTGGCTGTGAGGCGAATGGAATATATCTGCTGGATATTCTTGGACAGTGCCATGAACAACCTGAAAAAGATGCTTTTGGGTCTACATCTACAGAGTCCATCGGTCGAGTCATGTTATGTCATTTTCGTTTTGGTCATCTTTCTTTTTCTGGATTAAGTCATTTATTCCTAGAACTGTTTAAGGGAATTAGTTTGTCCAATCTTCATTGTGAGTCTTGTGAGCTATCAAAACATTGTTTTTTTTTTTTTTT